CCTTCGTTCTAGGTGGCACCCACAGGTTACCGCTTGAATAGCAATATTCTGTCCATAGCGATGGTTCGTATAGCCATTAAGGCAGACCCACGATCACTCATAATTGTTTGAGCCGTTCGTACGGAAAGGTAGTGTGGACTGCAGTGAACGACTCTGTTTAAGTTTCAGCTAAGGTAGCGGCGCTAAGACACAAGGTTGCTCAAGTGACCCCGCCCACGTTGACAGATGTCTTCTCTGCTGTCTTGCTCATTTGCATGCTCTCTCGCTGCTTTGTTTAGCCTCTCATTCGCGAACCACATCGATCTTTTGTTCCTCGCGTGGCAAAAGTAGAGCTTTAATTGGATTTTTTTGACTTTTTTCTACTTCTTTCAGCCTTCGAAGAACTTTCCCCCGGCTCATCGCGTGGTCTGCCTTCAGTTGTATTGAGAAGAAGGAATAAATAAGAATACTTTTCATAGTTGCATGAGACCTGTTACAGTCTAGAGGCATACGGTTGCAGGTGCTTATAATCAATTACAGATTATGGGCGTCAAAACATCATACAGACGACGGTCACAAACACGCTTGGCTGTATAAAAGGTAGTCAACAACACTGGCGTCTACTCTCTCACGTTCCAGTACAGAAGTCTTGTTGTTTACCTAGCGGCCTTCTTTCAGAGATCTCTTTTGCTGTTCTTCACCTTCATCACCTTGAAAAGTTCCGTGCCTTTCTGCATGTTCCCTTTTCCGTTTCACTGATGTTCATCCTTTCCAGAGACACTAATCGCATCTTCATCTCCACAAAAATGGACCATCACGTAAGTTCCTGCCTCAGTGGTTTCGTCAATGGGTTCTTCAATCCTAACCTAGCGAATTTCAGAAGCACGACGCTTCCAGCAAAGCACAAGAAATGGGACATGCAGCCAAGGAAAAGATGCATGATGCTGCCAATGCTGTCAAAAGTGCCGCTGAAAGGGCCGCTGATAAGGTAGGTATTGCTCAGAGAGACATTCCACGACTGGAGTTGAACAGTTGAAGGATCAAGGCGGCCGCAAAGAGTAGGCAACGGAGGCTTGGGCAACACTAATTGTAAGCAAGATCAGGGTGCTGGGGTATTGGAATAGACGTTCTTGTACCAGTAAGCACTATCTGAGCCAGAACTCCTATGAAATTGGGCTTTCTCAAGGAGATACGTGCCGATATCAGTCGTTTCGAAGATGTGGTACAGCTCAGAGCAGTGGATGAAATATCCTCATCACTGGATCCTTGGGCAGCCAGACTGTAATATCAGGACTGGAGGAGCACCCTCTTTCTTCCTCCAGTATGACCCTCCTCCCCCACCTGTCCTGTCACTCATCTTCTTGAATTTTCCCAGGGTGCTTTCAATTTTCCCCAGTTCACCAGTTCTTCCACGGACTGCCAGCAGGGGAGGGGGAGTCGCCACTAATCAACTACTCATTTCAATGAATGGGAATAGTAGTTGTATAGCATATAGCACCTGAAATGGGGAAAATCGCGAAAAGTCAACAAACCAAAAAGTTCTCCAGTGGCTCGAAACTACTGTCAAGACCACGACCGCTATCGGCCGAAAAAGCCCCCTTCTGAACGGACCTCTCAGCGATGCTGCACCTTGTGCCCCTCGCCTTAAACTACGACTGAATATCCATAGGCCATATCAGGATATGGAGAGGGCGTGGCCGCATACTTAACTTGAACATGGTGTAGGGCTCCAAAAGCACAGCCGCCGTTACGTTTCAATGGAGCCTTGCTCTGCCGATCTCCGTGATATGGAGGTGTTTACTGCTACCGTAGTGTTCCCTTCTCTTGGCACGAGTGACTGTACGACTATAAATGTTTCACTGTGTCCACAAAAATATTTATCACTATGAGATAGGAAGAAACAATAACAAGTACCTAGCGTTGAAATAACCGAGTACTGTATGAGAAATGTTGTTCACAATGGCGGTGTTGTTTCCTCTAAGAAGGCCGATCAGCGTTCTTGGTCTAGGTTAAGGGGGACTACACACCTCAGTGCTCGGTAGAGCTTTACGTCTGTCCTGCACAAACGTCTGCCAGCCCCGTAGGCTAGGGAAGTGTAGGTATCGATCTAGCGTCTGCCACCGTCTACCGTCCAGCAGCGACCAGCAGCAGAGTGCT